GGCATTGATATTGGGGCGAACACTACTTAACCCCTTCATTATTGACCTGGATGATGGGACAGAGTGCACCCTTAGCAGGATCACAGACAACAGAGTAGCGAGTACATGGCTGTGCAGCCATCAGAGGTGCAACCGATGATAAATGAACCCTTCAAGAAAAGGTGGTTCAGGAAACAATGTAGGAAAATCACCAGTGTTATCACAAAGGAAGATGGACTTATTTCAATACGAAGGGGACTGGAAGAGGGACTTTGCTTTAGATAAACTGCTCTATGGGTCAACTGTTTGTCTAAATGGTCTCCCCTAAGAAAATCCATAGAGATTATTATCTCCCTGACCCAGCTAGACTAGCATGGAGAAAGTATTTATGTGGCTCAGCACAGTACAAAAGCTGAGCAAATGCCAAATGAGCTCTGAAAAGAGCAATGAGCTCAAGCTGGGTTCAACCCATGCACTCCTTTACAGTAATTTAAGAAGCACAGTGATAGCTAGCATATAGATACCAGTAATCACATTTCTATGATGATTCAATATCCTCTGTAGACTGCAACTGCCATATTGTGATTCTATTATGATTGTAGTATACTGCTAAATTAAAATTCATGTAACAGCAGATATCTTCTATTATACTTTCAATCTTTCCCCATTGGTACATCCAAAAGAACCTTACCAGGGAATACTGGCATCTGGCAGGACAGACCTTGACAGGCTGGAAGGAATTTCATGAAATTTCAGCAAAGTCCTGCATAGGAGGAAGAGCAACCTCAGGCACCAATACACTCTATGGAATCACTTAATACCAAATTATGAGATAGAGTCACTCCCTCCTGAAATCCTGCAAGATCCCTTCCAGTGACACAGTGAACCCACCTCTCCCAGTGAAGAAAAATAATTACCGGCACAACCTTGGTTTTAGTTGCTGATAAAGTAAGACTTCTCACCTGTTCCACCTCATCCTTTCTGTCTCTTGATGATGCACAAATTTAGCTCCTTCTAAACTCTGCAGAATCACCTTATTTATCCATGTAAAACATGCAAGTTTGATATGCAGATTCTCAGATACAGGCAATTGTAAACCCATTCTATGCATTTAACTACACTGGACGTGAGTAAATTCAGAAAAAATATTCCTCTGATTTAGCAGTCTTTAAAAGGGCTAATAACATTTTAAAAAATTTGCACTTGATACATCACTTAAGAACCTGGAACAATAAAACTCAATCAACTGATGCCTGTCACCTAATCTTGTGCAATTTTTTTCCTTTTTTTCAATGCAAACAGAATAGGAAATGCATGAAACCTTTTAGAAAAATATCCTACAGAACTATAAGTCACCTCTTACAAGTCAAAGACCCAGAGGAAAATATAATTTCAGTTACATAAGAAGTTTATTTATTTATTGATTACAAATCAATACTTTCAGGGATTGAAAAACTGCAATAAACTTAGAGCAGTAAAAATAAACGCCTTTAAAGTTCATTTCTAAGAACATAAAAGAAATCAAAGACTATGAAGCTATTTTTTTGCAACAGGCACTGCTAATGCATGCTAATTAATATTTATAATTCACGTTTTCACCTAAATACCATAGCAGTGTGCTATAAAGACACTGCATATATTTATTGTGTTGAAAAAAGCCCACATTGCTTTTCAGACTCAATCTTTATATGATTTAACAGAATTATTAACAAATATGTGACACTTATGTAAGAACGCTACATTTTTCCTCAAAGTATGAAGCAGCACTCTGTCATATTATGTCATTATCAATTTACCAATGCTATCAAGAGCCCTCAGACAGTACCCAGATTCAGCAGAATATCTGTAATATTTTAGATACAGGCAAAGGAAACATTTGTATTAAAGGATTAAAGTTATTCCTTCTCTTCCCCTCCCCTTGAAATACAAATACAGTACAGCAGTATATATCATAGAGACCCTGAGAACACACCAATTTTTATTATCCTAACTTTACAACATAACTCAGTCCTGCAAACAAAGAGGACTGTTTCCAGTGGGGCTCTGTGATGGCATACAGGAGACCTAGGAATCCCCAGAGATCATAAATTATATTCAGTTTAAAATCTTAATTTCTCCTGAAAACATTTCCCAGAAGTTCTCCTACTACAATAAAATTCTGCATATGCACAATCAAGATCTGTGGCAAGAAATCATTAAGGTTCTTGTTTAAGGCTCTTGTACTACCAAAAGGTTCTTTCCTTAAATGCACACAATGTATCTAGAAAACAGTGAAATCTGACCCACAGAAGGACACTCTTTCAAAATGTTATATTGCTCTCAGTGTCACACCACAAAATCAAATTGTTGTCCTACATTACTTCAGTTGTGGGGCCTGCCTCATTTTGGTTTTCAAGTTAACAGCAACTAGGAAACTATACTCAGCGTATTCTCCTATTTAAATGTTTGGGTGTGGGGCTTTAACTTCTGAAAGCAAATAGTCAGCTATGAAAGCCTTAAGAAGGTATCAATTCAAAGTTTATCACCACCTACCTTTTGGTTTTGGCAGACAGAGTATGTATTAAATTGTATCCTCAAGAATAAAACAGCATAAAGTCAACTGCATATACTTCACTCACATCAGCTGTTTGCCATCTCAAACACCAACTACAAGCTGGGTAATTTTACACGTTTTTTTTTAAATTGGCACTTACACACAAACACCTTCAAAATGTAAAATCTCATTATCTTATTTCACTCAAATTCTCCACCATAAGCTATTTCAAATAGTTGTATTTTTTCCACAACCATCACAGGCAATAGAAAGTCTCAAATACTTAATAGTTAGAAACATTCTGTTCCTTCAGGATGCTGAAGTCACTTATATTATCCAAAATGAAAACTTATCTACTATACACCCACATTTCTATTGACATTTTGACTGCCAGAGTACTTGGTTAAAAAATTGTCAATCAGGTGTCTTGCCATATTTTTAAAAAAGTCAGAACCTGAAGTCGGTCCCCATGAGGAACCACCATAAAGAGAACCCATTCTTCCATGCTTTTGCATTGAATTCAGATCATCATGACAACTAAGTCACAGTCATTAAGGTGCTAACAGTAAAAATCTATAGTTCAGTTTATCTATAGTCAGATAAACATACCTGGCCCCAGCCAACAGGATAACATTTCTTCCCATGATGTACCCTAAGTCATAGCCTTACTCTGCTCAGCAATTCTGCACTTCTACTCCAAGTCATGCCACAGAATGTCATGCTCATTGAAAAGCATAATTTAGTCATACTCCCGAGGAAGAGAATGGAGAAGATACACTGCAAAAATACACTGTGTTCACAATTTACTCATGCATAGTCACCTCCACCAAAACTTCAATTAAAAAATGCCACTTCCTTTTTTTCTTAAAAAGTAAGCAACTCTGTTGTCTTTTCATCCTCCTTGGTTTTTCTGCCCCTACATTTCCTTCATTGTCTGTGCTCATTGTACCCATGCTCTTCACAGCAGGTGTAATTCATTCACAGCTCTTCAGAAAACCAACTACTACATGGTATTGAGGAGCTGAGTAAATACTTTCCATCAGATTTACCACAAAAGTCTATTCTAGAAATCATTTCTGAAGGTGACTGATCAGAGAATCTGTCCAAAATTGAAGGAACTAGGGTAGAGGTCATGAAACACAATGACAAAAAAAAATCAACAGTAATGAACAGTACACTATTGGCATTTTGAAAGTGCTCAAGGTTAAACACCTCCGTAAGGAATGACAGTGGGTTAACTCTCATTCGGTGGTTTCTTGATGTGTCAGGACTAGAAATGGAAAGCAGAAAACAACTAAAAATAAAAATCTTCAACAAATAAAACTGTTTGTGTGAACAGAAGCTACAATTAAAAATATGGTTAGTGGACTCTTGCAAAAAGTAGAAGAAGAATTGGCATGGCTTTTGCAAAAGGAAATCCTGCTTTTCAAAACTATTTAAGATCTCTGAAAGAGTCAATAAATACAGCGGTGAGGGTGCTGTAGTTGTCAAAATCAACTTTGGCTTTCCAAAATACTTCCCAAAGTCCCTTTCCAAAAGGTTACAAGGAAGCTAAGCAGCCATAGCATGAGGAACGGTCCTATAAGCAGAAGAACATTAGCCAAGGTATAAATCTGGCTGGCTCACTCATATCTTATATACTGTGTGGAGGGGAGGAAGGTAGAAATCATAACAAAAATAAACCAAAAGGTAATTCCCTCTGATCTGGGGTTTGTAGGCCTGGGGTGTCTTCCTGCCAGCCTGATGTTGCTGACACAAGAACTTTACATGGGTTCAAGGGGGACTGGAGAAATTCACACCAAAAAAAACCAAAAAAACCCTATGTCTACTGCGACATACAAATACACACAACACCACATCCAGTTCAAGAAGTTATTTGAGCTACAAATCACTGGAGAAAAAAAAAGGGCAGCAAAAAGCAAGTGTCCTGCATCTGTTCTTTGGGCTTCAACTACTGCCTATGACTACTTTTTTCAACACTGAACACTTAAAAATATTATGACTTGCATAGAACATATTTTTTTATGACAACTTATATACAGGAATCTTACAAAAAATAAGCTCCTGAACTCTGACACTTTAGCAAAATTACATGCCTTTCTACTTGTTTCACCAATTAACAGAAACAGAAGAAATCAGTGCAGGTGCTGGGAATCTTTTCCTTTGGCTGTTATGCACAGTGAAGGAACATCTGACATCCTGCCACTCACTCTAATAAAAGGACATATGTACAAAGACATAAAATCAGGTTACAAGATATTTCCATAACACCAGAAGTGACTGCCTGCTTTAGAAAGATACCCGAATTCACAACAAGTTGTATTAACCCCTCCATGCCCCGGTGCTTGACTGGATTTCAAAATTAGCTGTAAAGTTGTTAGATAAGGGTAGTTTCTCGTTTTCTTTTCACAAAGCACCAAGGACTGCCCAGCCCTGCTGAAGTCTCTGCGTGGCACTGGGGTGACGCACCTTCCCCCTCCCACCTCACCTTTTGCTCTTCAGGTGTGTTCGTACAGAGAAAAGGTGTAGCACTCCCTGACGAGCCTCTATAAATTCCTTGCCACACTCCGTCATTCCCCCTCCATAAGAAAGTTACTTCATGCCATGATTTTGTTACACACGAGGTGCGCACATGCTCTCAGCACACGATGCCTTCAGGACAAGAGGCAACGCGCAGAAACTGATGCACATTGGAAGTTCCACCTGAACATGAGAAAGAACTTCTTTGCTCTCCACTGGAACAGACTGCCCAGAGAAGCTGTGGAATCTCCCTCACTGGGGATGTCCAAGGGCCATCTGGACACAATCCCGTGCCACGTGCTCTGGGATGACCCTGCTGGAGCGGAGAGGTGGGACCACATGCCCTCCGTGGTGCCCCCCAGCCCGGCCCATCCGTGACTGTGCGATGCCACACGCGCTGCTGGGCGGGCAGGCCCCCGCTGACACCGACCCGCTCGGTGCGGGTGTCCCCGGGGGCGGCTCCGGCCCCGCCGCGACACCGACCCGCGCCCGCCCCGTGGCCTCGGCGCGGCCCCGCGCCCCCGTCACCTGCAGCGCCCGCACTCGGGCCGCCTCTCGCAGAGCTCCACCGGCAGCTCCCAAAGCCCCTCGCAGCCCTCGCCCTCCTCCTCCTCCTCCTCTCCCGGGGCCGGGGCCGGGGCCAGGCCCGGGTCCCCCCCGCCGCTCCCCTCCATTGCCGCGCGGCCGCCGCCCGCCAGGGGGCTCCAGGAGGGCGCCAGAGGAAGGGGGGCGCGCACCTCCCGCGCTCACGTGTTGGGAGGCGGCACCGCCCCTTCCCGGGGCTCGCCCAATGGGGGCGCGCGGAGCGCCGTCCAATGGGGAGGCTCCGAGGGGAGCCTCGCCATGCCCGGAGCGGCCGGCAGGGGGCGCTGTGGGCGCGCGGCGCTCCCGGAGAGTGGCGATCCTTCCCGGAAATGAGGAACGAGGAACGGGGACCTGCCATCGGCTGCCGCTGCGCTCACCACTGCCCTCACCTGCGCGGGTATTGCTGCCGAGAGAGAGCGAGATATCAGCCAAGGGCTGGAGCCCCCAGCGCCCCACTGAGCGCGGATAACCAGCTTCTGGTGCTGGTGCCCTTGGAGGTGGAGATCGAAATTCTAGTAGCGTTTTTTTATTAAAAACCCCACGAACTTCTGGTCGTTAAGTGCTTATCTGACCGTTTTAATTGGTATTTTGTTCCAAGTGGTGCAGAGTAGGGGTTTGAGAGTTCCCATGCCCGTGGATCCCTTTTACCCTCCCTTGGGCTCTAGGACAGTTCCTGCAATACATGCATAAATGTAAGTTTATACTGTGATAATTAAGGTAGATCTGTTAATAAGGTGCTGATATTGGAGTCTGTTATACAGTACAATAAAATTCAACTTCAAAGTCATTGCCGTTTACATTAGAAATCTACTGAAATACAATAACCAGTAAATCTCCACAGGACAGATTCTCTCCTGAAATTAATAACTGCAGATGATGGCCAGTTGTGTTGTTTCCTGTTTTCTGTTCTGCATCCAAAATAAACTCTGTTGCGTTTATGTATTTACAATCTTCAGAGCCACTTGATGCAATTCAGGCCTCCTGGTATTAGTTGTATGCACAATATTAATGTGGTTTTGCTTTTAGGTTGTGTATTTTTGTACCATAGCTTTGTATTTGTAGCTCAAGCTACAAATAAATGCATTTTCTTGTATAGACATTGGAATGCATTTTACTCACCAGGTAAAAAAAGAGTAAAAATCAGAGCCCAGTGATTCTGAAGCTAGCTGTTTATTTACATACTGTAAATTTAAAAATTAATACATAAGGAGGTAAGGAAAAGGAAAGTTACTTACTGCTAGAATTATAGGCCCCTAATTTAGGACAGGGGGACTAGTGTAGGAGTGGGAGAGCTGAAACTTTCTTATTAAGCTGAAAGCCTTATCATAAGGTGAATTGTTATAACTTACAAGCAGTTTATTTAGGCTGATTATTAGAAATAACACAGCTGTAGTGGATATGAGAAGGAGTATTGATGTCTTTGTGCAGAGTCACTTTTCTACTTCCAGCTTACTAAGAGTCCCCATGGTACTGACAGTAGCCTGGAAATGCCTTCATAGCTTTCCACAAGTGTCTTCAAAGACTGACTTTTTATCTGGTCTGGTAAGAATAATCAGCTTCAGTCATCAGTTCAGAAGAAAGTAAACCACTGTAAACAGTTCTGATCTGACCACACAGAAGAGAAAATTGATCTGCCGATAGATGCCTAAAATACATGTAACAATAACACGGCCTGAAGTAATTTTGTTGTCAAGGGAATGGGTAAATGTAGCAGGGAATACATAGAGGCTCAGTAGAGAGAGTGCTTTTCTCTATGTGCATACATCTGAAGTGCAAAATGAATCAGCTTAACCTGAAGGAAACTGGAAGCATGAGATCAGGTTAGGATAGACTGACCACGCCTAAAAGCTGGGCTTGAGGGTAGAGGGTTCCTGTTACTTGAATATTGCTGTTTTGGACTACCAACAATAGCAGAAAGGATTAAAAACCGGCTCAATTCTAGATTTTTTTTTTTTTCTCTTTATGAACAGAACTAGTGTTTGCTATGTGTCTGGTTCCAAAGCTTAACAGACCAGCAGCTTCTCACACTACAGGCCAACAAACTATAGATCTGGCACTAAATACTCATTTTTAAAAATTGGAAGCATTATTTTTAGGCCAGAAGTCTTGTTTAAACAACTGAAGGAGTTTAAGAGGAGAAATGCCTGAATATTGAAATTTGAGGCAAAAAATAAAATAAATTTTATGGCAGATCTTCATAATCTTTTGCAGGCTAATAGATATGTGTGTCTACACTATCTTTTTAATGCATGATTACCTTGAGTATTTGATGTGCATAGTTGAATCAAAATTAACACCTCCACCATTATATTAGAAAACTGAGGAATTCACAGCATCTCTTTGGACCAGTGTTTGCAATTTGTAAATTTACAGATCTAAATGATGGGCTGTCTGGGAGCTTCTTACTTGCATTTAATACATTTGATGTACTGAACTGTTTGTTCCCTTTTTTCAGATCATGAATGGTCACATGTTTAGTGACTAGCTGTAGACTCACTGTGGTATGGAAAGTCCATTAAATTTTATGGAAAGTACCATTCCTCTGTACATCCAGCCTCTTCTGTGTCCCTACATAAACTATTTCTCTTTTATTCTAGGATTTAATATTTATTTTATTCTAGGATTAGCCCTTACTGGGTAAGTACAAGTTAGAATTCTTGCTGTTACAAGTCACCAAAAAAGCCACCCCACCCCTGCCAAGAAGTTCAAATTTATTATACATTTATTTTAAGAGATGGGAAGAAGCTGCCAGGATGGCAGTTCTCAAAGAAGCGTATTCAAATGGCAGTTTCTCAGCAGCTTTAGCCAGTTTAATTCCAAGTGCCATGTTTCTACTGCCTGGATTGACCCACAGTTTCAAATACTGACATAAGTAATTTGAAATCCTGAGGAATACATTTTTCTTTTTCTTTTTTTTTTTTTTTTTTTTTTGCAAAAGCTGTGCCCTCGTAGAGAATTGCAGCTTTCATTGCAGCTCACAAATGTTGAATTTGGGCCGTTTGTGGTTCCCGTCCATACCCATAGTTGTCCATACATTCCGGTGATGTATCCAGAAGCCATCAGTTAAGCTGGAGGGACTGCCTGACCGGGCTTACTGCACAGTCACTGGTGTCAGCATGAGGTGTAGTCTGTGTAAGGGGACTTGGAGCTGGGAGCTTGGAAGACATAATGAGCTAAGATGATGTCTCAGAGCACCACAGGTGAGCCTGGAGAACTGACTAGGACTGAGAACTGTGAGTCAAGTGGACCGAGGCTGGAGACAGGTGAGCTTGGAAATGCTCATACAAAGGCTGTAATGAGGAAGAAGGATGTTTTTGTTGTGTGATTCTGCCTCATTGCCTCACAACAAAAGACAGTCAGACATCTTGCTATTTGTACGGCAGAATGGGATTAACAAAGCCCCTTCTTAGCTGTCAGTGTGTGTGAACAGAAGGCCATGTGCAGATATGAAGCCATATATTAAATAAGGGGGGTTGAGAGTAGTGTTGGTAAACACCACTATGGCTGGGAATAGAGCTCTCTGCAGGTGAAGTCTGGAGGTGCCTGATCGCAAAACCAGGAACTGTTGAATTTTGGAGAAGAGCTTGCTTTCTGTTTGACCCAAGCATGCACTGACCTGATTTGTCATAACACTTGTCTCCCAAGACAGTCCTTTTTGAGGGAAAAAGAATGGTTTAGTTAGACACAGTAGCTGGCCAGAATAATTAACTCCAGCCTTCCACCAAGGACTTGCTGGAGGTGCTGTATTTTTCCACACGCTCAGAGATGCTGTGAGTTCTAAGGGCAAAAACTGTCTGTGACTGTCTCTATTCTAGAAGGTACTCTAACTAATTTACAACAAAAAACATGGCTGTAAAACATTTAGCCATCCAGTACTGAAATCGACTGCATTGTAAGAGTCATGTAATAATGATGTACATTGCATAATGTTGTCTCCTATAATCTGTTGAACCCATGGGTTTCAGACTTTACCAATTCTATTTAAAGTCTTTGGATTCATTTGTCACTCATGATAACTCACTGCTTTGTAAATACTGATAGCAAGTGACTTGAAAAACGCAGAGTTCATTTCAGATACTTTAGTCACTACTGGGGTGTTGGAAATGTCCTTTACATGAACTAAAGAAACAACAGCAGCAACAGAAACATCCTGTTTGTCACTTAATCTTCATCTGCATTTTTTTTCTGTTAACCAAAGAACTAAAATTTGTGCAATTGTGTCCAAAATGCAGCAGTGATTCTGCCTCTATTCTGTCTGATGAAAATTCTTCTACAGAGCTGACTGTTGTGCTCTTCTACACATTTGCCAAAAAAAGAGATACTTTCCATAATATTGTTTCCTTCTCAGAATCACAGGATTTGGGCAATAATAATGTTCGTCCACTGAAACTCTTTTTTTTTCCCACAGCCTAGAGATACCCTGTAAGAAAGCACTATTAGGAACTATTTTCATGTGAGGAAGTAGCATAAAGTAACATTCCATTCCAACCACCTAATTCTAACTCCTGTATATATACTTTTATTTTTGGCATAACTACACACATGAGTTACAGTGAAATAATAAAGGTGTGACATTTCAAGGTAACTACTACATCACAAAACTATTGGTTTGCATATTTTCACATACTGTTAATACCA